TCAGCTCTTCAGCTCAAGGCGAGCGCTCTACCACTTGAGCTACAGCGCCACTTCCGGTTTTCTGGTGGTTTATTGGAGATAGGAGTCTCACAGTCTCTCCTGCCCAGGCTGGCTTTGAACCTCGATCCTCAGATCTCAGCCTCCTGAGTAGCTAGGATTACAGGCGTGAGCCACCAGCGCCCGGCTCACCAAAAATATTTTAAGAATGGAAAAAATGCAGGCACATGTCCAGAAACAAGAAGCGCTGGGACCCTTCAGGAACCCTGGAATTGGCACTATCCACACTCAGAGGGTCATCCAAGTTAGTACAGAATCTAGCATTTTCTCTGCATAATTTGCATGTGAAGTGGAAGGGCTCTGACTGCTTTTCCTGTGCACATCTGCTGTCCCAGTAGGCTGAAGACAAGAGGCTGGACGCCACTACTCAGTCACTCATGTCCAGATCAAATTCTGGATACAACTCTTTAGTTGTGACACCTCGGATAACAGCTGAAAGGAAGGACAGACGGAGATTGTCCAGCTGGGGAAGAGAGGGTATATGGGCCAAAACCCTGAACCAGCACTGCTGTCTAACCCCCGAGGACCAACCCTTCTGGCTTTTAGTCACCCAGCTGGCAAAGGTGCTCACCTTGCTTCTCCTTCCTGGCCTCTCCCTGTAAGCCTTGGCCCTGTCCGCTCTATACCCAGCAGCCTGCATTCCTGCATGCACCAGATAAGGATGCTCAGCATTTGGTCTAGGAGCATTTGACTCTTCCTGAACTTTCACCCATTCTGCAGAATGAGAAGCAGTTCCCTTAGAATCTTTGCCACAGAGCAGCAAGGTATTTCTTGAACTATAAACTGTCTCCACACCAGATGCCCAAGTGCTCAGCATGGGCCAGGAGCCAGCCCTGACTGTGTGACACTTCCTCCTGTAGCTCTCTCTCAAGGGCTTGTCTTGTTTTCCTCAACTGTCTGTCCTTAGAGGCCTCCTTGTGCAACTTATTTTGGTCTCACTTGCTACCTTCTTCAAACCTCAGCACCCTTCCCATTTCTGCCCTTTGCTTCCTTCAGGGCACTTACATCTTATATAATTTACTGCATTCATCTACTGCTTGACCATTCTGTCTACCCCGAACTCCAAAACCTAAGCCACATGAGAAAGGACCTTCAAGTGTCTATTTTACCAGTATCCCCAGCACCCTGTAGAGTGACAAGTACAGAGTAGAAGCCCAATTAACTACTCACCACACAAGATTCCTTTCTGCCCTGGAATATTAGATTGTTCTGTGCTAGGGATGCTGATGGAGACAGATTTCAGCAACAGGTGTTAAGACTAATGCAGCTCTGGCTACTGTGCCATTTTACCATCGGACATAATGCTCACAAATTAGAGCCAGATAGAGGAACTGGAGTGCTTGTTTAAAGTCATCTACACATTGCCTTATCTCTTAGCTGGCCTTACTTCCAAGGAAAGCTTCCCTGATTTATGGGTATCTGCCTTGGCTAAAGCCCCCTGGCTAGTGAGACTGAGCTGAAGGGGGAACAGAACACCCCTTTAATTCACCAAGGTATTTGCTAGCTCTTGAGTAAGTTAGCCACTTGAGGGACTCTCAATCCTCAGACTTACAGATGGGGCAGTCCTGCTGAAACTTGCTCCAAGGCAGGCCCTGTCATTGGGATGAAAAATCCCAGAATTAAGGTAGGAGCCCCAAAGTGGTCTTGCTAGGTGGCCAGTTGGAAGAAAGGCTGGTGGGAGGGGCTAGAGCATTCTAGGAGTTGGGCAGCTGAGAAGGGTGGGAGATATGGCAAGTTGGAAGGCCTAGGAACAAAATCCAACACCCTTAGGGGAGGGGGCAAGTCCTGCTCACCCAGCTTGCCCAGCAGCATCTGTCCTACATCCTTGATGTCATTATACTCATGGAGCTGGGAGATGTGGTCATCCAGTTCATCCACACTGTAGCCCCTGGGATGAGGGAGGAAGGGACAGTACTGTTAGGAAAGCTGATGAGGATCCCTGACTTCAGGGGATACGGGGCTGTGTTTAGGCAAAGTTCTCTTCATGCCTACAAGGTGCTAGAGGTTTAGTGCTGGCGGAGCAGACATCACCCTCCGGAGGCTAACAGTACAACCAGGGATCTGCCCAGCCCCTCCCTCCTAGGAAACGTGTCTTGTACACTGAGGGAAGGGCCTTTAGCCACATTAGTGCTATGAGATTCTGGCCACAGCTGAGGGACTCCAGATGGGCACATGATCAGGGATCAGGCAGATTCCCTCATGGGTGAAATACCTATTTCAGTGCTGCTCAGTCTCTGCCACATGGCTGGAATGAGAAAGCTATAGAACTGAAGGTACTGGGGAAGAGCCAGCCTCCAGTACCCTCAAAGACAGAATGGGGGTAACTACTGGGGATTGACCCCAGGGCCTCTTGCATGCTAGGCAAGTGCTCTACCACTTAAGCTGCATTTTTCAGTCATGTTTTTCATTTTTGTAATGCAGAGGATAGAACCTAGGGCCTCCTACATGCTAGGCAAGTGCTCCATCACAAAGTCACATCCCAGGCCAAAGGTTGTCTTAACCACACTAGAGATCCAGTAGGACTTACTCAGATATTAGTTGATAGATCTCTTTGTCCAACATGTCCTTCTTGTCCTTCAGTTTCTGAATATCAAGGTTCAGGAACTCCTCACTGGTCCCATAGGCCTGGCCAGATTTGGGAGATGGCCGCTGAGTGGCAGAAAAAGTCATTAGCTGAAGTGACCAGCAAGCCACAATTTAGAGCCTATATCACATCCTTTAATAGCCACTTCCCATTCTGCTTGGTAACAGGCCCCCCCATTACCCGACCCCAGAATACCAGTATACTTCTCAGCTGCCCTATGACTAAGTTATGACAAGTGAAACTTCACTAAAAGTAGCATGTGATACTCTAGGAAGGGTCCTTCCATGGAGTGTCCAGGCCCCTTTCTGGCCTCTCAGTCTAGCTGTAGATATAATGCTGGAGCTGAACAGCAGTCTTGGATGATAAGGCTTGGATGATGAACCCTTTAGGAGGCTAGAATACAAACTAGAGGCCAGAATCCTTGATGGCTGTTTAAACCACCATTAGTGGCATTGTCTTTTCCACTTCTAGCCAAACCCAGTCCTAACTAGCAGGTTTACCCAGGCCTCCAACCTGACCCTAGGTAATTTATGTTGGGTCTCCTGAGGTTCTCCTGGAGTCTGCAATGTTACTGGGGTTATAATCTCACTGTATACTAAAACTCTTCACTGAGGCTATACTTCACCTTTGCCCTTTCTGCCTCCAAAAACCACTAAGGCCAGGGTCTAGCACATAGCTAATCTTCCAGAAGAAGGATGAACTGTCTATACATGATACAAGAAAGGGGAAAACACAGTTCCTGTTCTTAGGCTAGCAGTAGTGAGTTAGCAGTTTGCCAGCACTGGCAAAAAGTCCAGATCAACACTTCCAGTTGGACTCTTGTATTCAGAAATATTTAGCCAAGGCTCAGAGAGAAAAATATTCAGAAATTATGTTATGTCCTTCCTACATTTAAGCATCAACTTACAAGTTACCTCATCAGAAAGGTTCCTCTCTGGCGGTCCTGTCTCCCTAAAGTGGTGCCTCAATCACCACAACCTGTCCTTTTGTTGTTGCTCCATTTTTTTTGTGTGTGCCAGTTCTGGGGCTTGAACTCAGGGCCTCATGGTCTTGTTTGGCTTTTTTTCACTCAAGGTTGGCATTCACTTGAGCCACAGCTCCACTTTTGCCTTTTTTTTTTTCTGTTGGTTGTGGGGCTTGAACTCTGGGCCTGGGTGCTCTCCCTCAGCCCTTCAACTCAAGGCTAGTGCTCTACCACTTGAGCCACAGCACCACTTCTGGCTTTTTCTGTTTATGTAGTACTGAGGAATCGAACCCAGGGCTTCATGTCTGCTAGGCAAGCACTCTTTGTCCACTGATGATAGCATAGGGTCTACAACAGCACTTGGTCTATAGTAGACAATAAGTATTTGTCAAATGAAGATGTAATAATAAATACCTAATTGATTAATTTTAAGTCAAATGCTTTGAAGTGCAGTATCTAACTCTGAAGGAAGCTAATCTAACAGGCCAATGGATCTGAGCCAGAAGCTGGGCTAAGGCTTCCAGAGGAAGCAGAGCTTTAAGGGATGACTAGACATTAACTTGACAAAAAGCTAAAAGAGTATTGCAGACAAAGGACTTGGTATATTCAAATACTCAATGCAGGAAAGCATACATGAGAATGGGCAAGTGGAGAACCAATTGTGAAGACAAGACCAAAAGAAGCCAACCTGAAGCAGGGCGCCGGTGGTTTATGCCTGTGAACCTAGCTACTCAGGAGGCTGAGATCTGAAGATCATGGTTTGAAGCCAACCCCGGTAAGAAAACAGTCCGTAAAACTCTTACCTCCAAATCAACCACCAGTAAACCATAAGTGGCTCTGTGGCATGCTCCCTTTGAGCTGAAGAGTGGAGGGACAGTGCCCAGGCCCAGAGTTCAAGCGCCATGACCAACCAAAACAAAAACAAAAACAAAAATGCCAACCAGAGGTGCTGTTAGAAAGGATGGCAAGGCGGGGTTCACAGGAGGGACCACAGGCAAATGTGAGAACAGTGGGATGAGGAGTTGTTTGGTGGTTCTCCTAGGATGCAAGTGTAGTTTCAAACTCAGTAAATAGGAAGACAAAGATAATCTGCAGGCAGCTGTGTCTAGGAAAAAGTCAGGGCTGCTAAGAGACCAGACACAGGGGTGAGCATACAGGTGGCTGACAATACTACAAAAACAGAAAAGCCGGAAGTGGTGCTGTGGCTCAAGTGGTAGAGTGCTAGCCTTAAGTAAAAGCAGCTCAGGGACAGTGCCCAGGACCTGAGTTCAAGCCCCAGGACTGGCAAAAAGAGTCTCAGGGGGACTTTTCTGCCCAGGCTGTTCCAGCCGTGATTCTCAGATCTCAGCATCCTGAGTAGCTAGGATGTAGCCACCGGCTTCCAGGGAAACCCTTATTTAGGGATGGCAAGTGGGAGGAAAGGAGACAACTGTTTGTTGGTAGCTAAAGGAGTGGGCAGCCGGGGGAAGGGCCCGCAGGATTACAGGAGGGGTTGGGTTAGGGGAGAAACCAGCGAGCAAGAGGATTTGACCCTTTGAAAAATGGAAGGCGGGAAGTTCCTCCGAGCAGGTTTACTGAGGAACGGTCTTGGGGAGAGCTGATGGGGAGGTGCGAGGCGGGTGGGTCGTGGAGGAGGTGCGGGGATGCCCAGACATACTCACCGGGGACCGGAAGGGCCCTCGGCAGCTTCGGTTCGGCCCCGGCTCCGTCCTGGAGAGGGATGCAAAGAGAAAGGCTGACTGTTGAGAGCCGGGGGGCGGGTGCCCTGGCGGTGCGAGGGGCGCAGGCAGCTGAGCAGTCGGGGGCCAGGGCTGGGTCCGGCCGGGAGGGCGTCCGGCGCACGGCTGCGCTCCGAGGCCCAGGAGGAAGGGGGTGCGCTGCGCCAAGTGGGGTCTGTCTAGAGGACTGGGAGATGGTTTCTCAAAAGTGCGAGTACCGGACTCAGTGAGAGGAAACAGGAAAGGGGCTGTAAAAACGTTGCCCGTTCCTCGCCCACCTTCTGAGCCCTGGGGTCCGAGGCCCCCGGGTCGGGGGAGTCTGCAGCGAAGGGGGGTCCAGGGCAGCGGCGCGAGCGCGGCTTCTCAGGCTCGCCAGGTGACTAGAGTTCTGTGAGGAACGCAGCAAACGGTCACCAGTACGGCTGCGCGCGCACCCAAAAGGAATTTACCCGCTCCTAAGAATGGGCGGGGTAGGATCCCGGAGGTGCGCGCGCAGCTCCAAGACTCCGCCCCTCGCGTGTAGCTCGAGGGTGGGGGGGGAAAGGCGGAGGGCAGACTACGCCTCCTTCCGTTTCATCTTTTCCATGGACCAATGATGTGGGATATTTTAGACCACGCCCACCCGAAGAGCCTAGTACCGCCCTGGACCCGCCTCTGCTGGCTCACAGCACAGCGAGTAGCAGTCGGAGGTGCTTCGCGGTGGTTGCCGGGAGCGCGGTGGTTGCCGGGATTGTGGTGATGTGGCCCCCCCACCTCCCCTGTCCCAGCCCCGGGATGTCGGAAGAAACCAGACGTAGCAAATTGGCTGCGGCCAAGAAAAAGGTAAAACGCTCCGGGTCGCGTCCCCTTGACTTAGCCCGGACTTCTCCGACGGCCGGACCATGTCAGAGTCTGAGCCACTCTGGAGACGCACGGGGGTGAACCCCTTGGCGCCCCTTGGCTCCCCCCACCAAAGTCTTCCCAGCCGGCCCCGCCCCCTCAGCAGCCCAGCCCCCGCCCTCGCCCGACGCCCCTGGGTGACTTTGGCTGCTGACTCCCCGCTCCAGGCTCGACCCTCGCCTCCCGCTGCCCCAAGCTGGACCTCTCCGGGCTTGCTGGACTCCCGATTCCCGAGGACCTGGGTCCTGGCCCTGCGCTCCCCCTCCCCCACCGCCGCTGCCAACGCCACGGCGGAGCGGCGACTCGGGCGTCGGTGGGGAGCCTTGGAATGTAGTTACACCACTGTCCCCCTCTGAACTGTCATTACCACCTTGGGCTGGCCCTTTGATCTTGCGACTCAGTTCCCTGAAGTGTCTTCACCGCCTTTTCGGTTTCTTTGGTCGCGGTACAAATTGCTACTTGGATAGAGGGGGAGGAGGAACTGCTTGGTTGTGGGACCCCGGTACAGAGTGGTTTTAGGTTCCCTTCCTCCCTGTGCTCCGACTTTGACAACCTGAAAAGCTGTCGCCGCTGAGCTCAGAATGTTAACAATATCTCTGGGAGAGCAGGTTTGGGTTGCTTTGGTTTTCTCCCACATTTCAACCAAAAAGTCTCTACAATTTTTATTTTTCTGAGTTCACTACCGAGTTCTTTCTAACTCTGGGACCAGAGAGTCCTTTAGCCTCGCGCTCTGGAATGAAATCTGCGTGTTTAATGTGGAAGAGTTCCTGGGAATACTGAACTTTACAGCTGGGCTTCTCCCCCTCCCCCCAATCATTGTCTCCACCTGGGGTGCTGAGTGCCACAGGATAAATATGAGGCATTAAGTGTTGCTTGATTCCCTTGAATCACTGAGCACATTAGTGAACTGAGGGTTGACATTTTCATAGATTAGGAAAGTTAGAAAAGACCCCTCTTACTGAAATGATGTTTGGGACTTTGTTAGCTTTGAGAACCTACAACACCAACTCCCTTCCTGCTTCTGCCCTTCGGATGTGTTGAAGGAAAAGTGGGAAACTACCCATTTGTAGTTTTTTGTTTTTGTTGGTTGTAGGGCTTAAACCCTGGGCCTGGGCGCTGTCCCTGAGCTCTTCAGCTCAAGGCTAGCGCTCTAACCACTTGAGCCACAGTGCCACTTCCGGTTTTGAGTGGGCTGGTTTTGAACTGCAATCCTGAGATCTCAGCCTCCTGAGTAGCTACGATTACAGGCATGAGCCACCGGTGCCCGGCTCCATGAGTAGTTTTAACATGTGTTTTAAAAAAAGTCCTGATGTCTGGTTTCTTTTTTGTTTTTATGAGTTAAAGGCCCAGGGGTTGGCCTTGAACTTGCAATTTTTCTGCTTAGCTTCCCAAGGGCTGGGATTACAAGCCTGTGCCACCACACCCAGCTCCCTGCACCCAGTTTCTAAAACACAGACATTTCATACCTACACTTATTATTATTATTTTTTTGGTTGGTTGTGGGTCTTGAACTCTGGGCCTGGGCGCTGTCCCAGAGCTCTTCAGATCAAGGCTAGGATTCTACCAATTGAGCCAGAACACCACTTCTCCTTTTCTGAGTAGATAATTGGAGATAAGAGTTTCACGAGCTAGGTGCTGGTGGCTCCCGCCTGTAATCCTAGCTGCTCAGGAGGCTGAGATCTGAGGATCAAAGTTCAAAGCCAGCCCGGGCAGGAAAGTCTGTGAGACTATCTCCAGTAAAACCACTCGAAAACCGGGAGTGGTGAAAACCGGGAGTGGTGCTGTGGCTCAACAGTAGAGCGCTCCCCTTGAGCTGAAGAGCACAGGGACAGCACCCAAGCCCCAGAGTTCAAGCCCCACATCCAACAACAACAACAAAAAAAAGAGTTTCACAGACTTTCCTGCCCAGGCTGGCTTTGAACCATGATCCTCAGATCTCAGCCTCCTGAGTAGCTAAGATTACAGGTGTGAGCCACTGGCTCCTGGCTCATACCTACACTTATTAGTGTTTACTTTTTAACCCTCTACTTCTAGTGTTGCCACCTTGGGAGCTGCTGATTCATGGCACAGCCCAGAGCTTAGAGTCAGAAGACTGAATTTAAATTCCATTATTGCCTCTTTTTGAGGTGTGGGTGTGAAATAGAATCCTAGGCTTCTGTGCTCTGGCACTGAGCTACATCCCTATCCCAATTATTGTTATTATTATTATCAGTCCTGGGACTTGAACTCAGGCCCTGGGTGCTCTCCCTAAGGTTCTTTTGTTCAAGGCTAGCACTCTACCACTGGAGCCAAAGTTCCACTTCCTGCTGTTTTGATAGTTTATTGGAGATAAGAGTCTCATGGACTTTACTGCCCAGACTGGCTTCAATCCCTGATCCTCAGATCTTAGCCTCCTGAGCATCTAGGATTACAAGTGCGATCCACTGGTGCCTAGCTATTGCTTTTTTTAAAAGTTACACTAGTTATTCTGTTTCTTAGGTCATTAAGGGATCATTATTCCACCTTATAGAATTGTGGGTGGAATTACAAGAGGTGGCATATCTAAGAGTATTTTATAAAAGAGATATAAATAAGGGGGCTTATTGTTTTCACGAGTATCTCATTGCTTTTCCTTCCTACAGCTGAGAGAATATCAGCAAAGAAACAGCCCTGGTGTACCTGCAGGAGCAAAGAAGAAGAAAAAAATAAAAAATGGCAGTAACCCTGAGACCACCACTACTGATGATTGTAACTCACCCGAGGATGTGAGTCTTGGCTGCTAGGCTGTCAAAGGGCTCTAAGGGCAGCAGCGGGTAATGGTTAAGATGGAAGAAATGTCAGGCACTGGTTGAGAATTCTGGTTTTCAGTGGTTGAGCACTTGCCTAGCATGTGAGAGTACCTGGGTTCCGTCCTAGCACAGGAGAAAAATAAAGATAAAGTAAATCCTAAGTTTGAATTCTGCTTCTCCTTTTGCTAGGAATAGGGAAAATTGCTTAAATTCTTTGAATTTCTCTTTCCATATCTATAGAAGGGTAATATTTTATGGACATCATAAAGTTTACATGAAATTTGTTTTTATGTTATTCCATAGCACTGGGTTTCCTATTAAGAGTAAATATCCAACAGTTGGTAATTGTTATTTAATTTTCTCTGAAGCAAGACCAGTGAGAACAGCCTGTCCTTCAGGAAACACTGTCTTTACCATTTAAAAGAAAAGGAGCCAGGCACTGGTAGCTCATGCCTGTAATCCTAACTACTCAGGAAGTTGAAATTTGAGGATGGTGGTTAGATGCCAGTCTGGGTAGGAAAGGCCAAGAGACTTTTTTTTGTTGTTGTTGGTCATGGGGCTTGAACTCTGAGTCTGGGCACTGTCCTTGAGCTCTTCAGCTCAAGGCTAGCACTCTGCCACTGAGCCAAGTGCCACTTCTGGTTTTCTAAGTGGTTTATTGGAGATAAGAGTTTCAAGAACTTTCCTGCCTGGGCTGGCTTTGAACCATGGCCCTCACATCTCCGCCTCCTGAGTAGGATTACAGACGTGAGCCACCAGTGTGCAGCCCAAAAGACTCTTCTTTCTAATATAAACTACTTAGAAAAAGCCAGAAGTGGCACTGTGGCTTAAGTGGTAGAATGCTAGTCTTGAGCAAAAGAAACTCAGGGACAGCACCCAGGCCCTAAGTTCAAACTCTAGGACTGACAAAAAATAAAGAGGAGGATTTAGATAGTCCCTCCTTAAAAAGAAGGTATTGTGGGTGGGGAGCATATCTGCTTTTTCAACTTACTTTCTAGTTTTCATTTCTGGATCTGGTCCTTTTGAAATTTGTTAAAATAATTTTTTTTCCTTTTTTTTTTTTCTTTTTTTTTTGGTCAGTTGTGGGGCCTGAACTCTGGGCCTGGGCACTGTCCCTCAGCTCTTCAGCTTCAGGCTAGCACTCTACCACTGGAGCCACAGCGCCACTTGTGGCTTTTTCTATTTATGTGGTGCTGAGGAATCGAACCCAGGGCCTCATGCATGCAAGGCAAGCACTCTACCACTGAGCCACCTTCCCAGCCCTCCCTGAGCTCTTTTGTTCAAGGCTAACACTCTACCACTTAGCCACAGCTTTACTTCTGATTTTTGAGTGGTTAATTGGAGATGAGTCCCACAGGGATTTTTCTGCCCGGGCTGGCTTCAAATCTCAATCCTTAGATCTCAGCCTCCTGAGTAGCTAGGATTACAGGTGTGGGCCACTAATGCCTAGTCCATTTATTTTATTTTTTTGGTATGTTGTGGGCTTGAAGTCTGGGCCTGGGCTCTGTCCCTCAGCTCTTCAGCTCAAAGCAAGCACTCTACCACTTGAGCCACAGTGCCACTTCTGGTTTTTCTGATGTTTAATTGGGAATAAGAGTCTCATAGACTTTTCTGCCTGGGCTGGCTTTGAAATGAGATCCTCAGATATCAGCCTCCTATGTAGCTAAGATTACAGGTGTGAGCCACCAACGCCTGGCTCCTTTTAATCTTAAAAAGGGGTGCAGAAGGTTGTCAGTCTGTCTTCTATAGGTACTTTATGCTGAGGGTGCTGTCTGATCTGCTTGGAAAAAGTCATTCCCCTGTCTGATTTAGGAGGTGACATGGGAAATGCAATTGGCAGGAAATTCATTTGACATACTGTTACAATCAGGACCAGATGGTTAGGATGAAAAGACATGAATTAAAAATTTTTTTTTTTGTGAGGGTTGGGTGTGGGTCTTGAACCCAGGGCCTAGGTGCTGTCCCTGAGCTTTTGTGCTCAAGGCTAGAACTCTACCACTTTGAGCCACAGCTCCACTTCCAGTTTTCTGGTGGTTAATTGGAGTTAAGTGTCTCATGGACTTTTCTGCCTGGGCTGGCTTTGAACTGCGATCTTCAGATCTCAGCCTCCTGATACCTAGGGTTATAGGCTTGAGCCACTGGTACCAGCTTATGTAGATTTTTAAAATTTTTACTAAAATTTTAAAATTTTTACTAGGAAAAACCATCTTTGAAAACTAAATTGTTTAATATGGATAATTAATAAGATATTTTTACAGGAACCATAGACATATAAGGAATTGCAGGTTTATAATTTAACATTATGAATTAATATCATTTAATATGATGAATTATACCTGCTGTCCACAGAAAGAGAATACTATGTGGATAGCTGGCAACTTATATCTACCTGAGAAGTACTGACTTTTAAGTCCATCTTCACAATCAGTTTACCAGGTGACCACAGAAAAGGCATTTTCTCCTCTGAGCCTGTTTTCCTTGTCTACTACTGGATTAAGTCAGTGTCATTCATACTTAATTTTTACCTGTAGCCTCTGTTCAGAGTACCCTTTCTCAGGAGCCTGGATATAGAATGGAGATAGAGGTCTGGAGCCTTTACAGATTGTTATGGTACCTCAGACCTGAGAAGAGGGTCTAGCATGTTGGAAGCTGCATTGGTCACATGACTTGACTACATCTTTTGGGACTTTTCCATCTATTTGTTTCCCTCACTGGCTGCCTTTGGCAAGGCAGCAAGTGGCTGTTTGGAAAGGACAGCACTGGCTTGGTATTGATCTCTACTCTTCTTCAGTGTCCCATTTCCCTGAATTCACCTCTTCTTTGTTTCCTGATTTTCTTGCCTCTTTCTAAGCTACTTCTCTCTCTCTCTCTTTCCCCCCCTGCCCTTGTTTTTCCCTTTCTGCCTCCTGTAGATTCAGGACATTCTGAAGGTGCTGGTGTCCGACCTTAACCATTCCAATGGGGTAGTGCTCCCCCCATTGGACAAGTGGAAGGTGAGGCAGAGCCAAGACCCCCTCTCTGGCTTGCTCTCTCCCATCTGTGCATGCCCCCAAGGCTTCTCTGGTTTGGGAAATCCTTTGCCTCTGGCTTACTTTGTGTTGCTGCCAGTATGCTTAGCCTGCTTATATCTGCTTTACCTGTTTGGTTGATTGGGCTCTCCCCTCCCCATCTTTCATCATCTTGGAGAAGAGGAAGTTAGTTAGGAAAGTTAAAGTTAGTAGTCTATGAATACTTTCAGAGCAGTTGTGTGGGACTTGGGCTTTGTGAATGCCCAGTGTGGTGCTGTCAGACTGTGAGAGATTAAAAAACTCCAGAGCACCTTTAGGTCTTGTTTTCTGGGAATCTGTCCCCAAAAGACCAGTAAACCATGGCAGTTTGTGAGTTTTTAAATTGATTTGTTTGCTTTGAAACTTTGGAAGATAAGGTTGGGAGAAAATGAGTTTTCGTTATAGTTACAGAGATCAAGGCAGTTTTTTTCCCCCCAAGCAATGGATTAAAGGAAGTGAGGTTAACCAAACAGAGAGTGACCAGAACACACTGCCCCTAATCTTAAACATCAGAGAACACTTGGCAGTATTCACTGGGCTCTGGATTTCAAAGGCCCTTGGCCAAACAGTGGCAAAAATAGATGAACAAGCTAGATGTGGAGGTGTACACCCATAATCCCAGCACTCTAGGAGGCTGGGAGGGTAATGAGTTTGAGTCCAGCAAAAGATATGTAATAAGACCCTGTTTCAAACAAACAAAAATTCAAAATAGACCAATAAGATGGGTGCCCCTGAGGGAGAAGCAGCCTCTGAAAGAAGCGAGGGAGAACATCCAGATGCTCACCTGAGGGAGGCTGGCTCCCAGTGGACTGTAGGCAGGATAATGTGACACTTGAGGCTACTAGGAAGATGAAAGGTGAGGCTGGGGGAGTCGTAAGGTTAGGACTCCTTTCAGAAGTGCAGAGAGTCAGGGTGGAGCAGGATCCACAGGGCTAGGAGATGGTGGTCTCTGGACATCCTGTTGGCACTTCCTTCTTGGCTACCTTGCCCAAGGGGGATATCTGCTGAGCTGAAGATCAGGGTTTTGCCAGGGCTGGATCCTTTCATGGGAAAAAGCTTCTTAGCTGGTGTTGAGTTTTCCCATCATCACAGCTGATCCTGCCCAGGCAGTCAGGTCTGCTGAGGTGCGGTGATTCACCCTGCCTGCTCAGAGGAGACATCAACTGACACATTGGATGGGAGAGGACTCGGGCTGAGAGGCCTCTTGGAACCTCATAATTGGCTTTTGCTCTGCAAAGTGACCAACTGTGTAGGGAGTCTGGAGCCTCAGTTTCCTCATTAGAAAAATTCTAATGGTATAAAATTTTGTGCCTGCTGGCGCTGGTGGCTCACGCCTGTAATCCTAGCTACTCAGGAGGCTGAGATCTGAGGATCACGGTTCAAAGCCAGCCCCGGCAGGAGAGACCGTGAAACTCCTATCTCCAATAAACCACCAGAAAACCGGAAGGGGCGCTGTAGCTCAAGTGGTAGAGCGCTCGCCTGGAGCTGAAGAGCTGAGGGACAGTGCCCAGGCCCAGAGTTCAAGCCCCACGACCGACAAAAAAAAAAAAAAAAAAATTGTGCCTATCCCAGGCCTCTGTTCTGGAAAGGAAGACTAGTGTTTTCAAACTCTCTCAACAATTGTTTTCCATGCAAGTTTCCTATTTTAGCAATGGAGTTCTTTGACTATGATCTCTTGAGTAGAGTTGATATTTCCAGAAGTGAGGAGAGTAGAGAGATAAAACAGTGTCTAATGGGATAGGATTTTTTTCTTTTTCTTTCTATGCCAGTACCAGGGCTTGAAGTCAGAGCCTCACACTTCCACTCTGCCTTTTCACTAAAGGCTATCTCTCTATCACATGAGCCATGTCTATAGTTCTGGCTTTTTGCTGGTGAATTGGAGATAAGATTCTCCTAAATTTGTTTTCCCAGGCTGATTTTGAGCCTCCACTTCTTAGATCTTAGTTTTCTTAGTATAAGGATTATAGGCATGAGCCATTGATGGCCAACTTGGGACAGGATTAAAAAGAAACACCAAAAACCCAATACTTAACTGCATAACCTCAAATTATAGAATAAATTAGTTGCTTAAAAAATCATGTTACATATATTTAAAAATACTTAGAAAGCACTTTTTTCTTCTGTGAGAATTCTTGTGTCTAATCCCATCCTGGGATAGGAATCCAAGATGCCAGTAGGGACTGGAGCCCGACAGTCTGTGGTCAGGAGTGCAACCTCCCTTTAAGTGTTCCGCCTGGCAAGTTGTTACACTCTGCTTGTATCTATTAGATTGGTCTGTAATGTGGTAAAGCATTACCAGCTTCCAACGCTAGCAGTCACCAATGGACACTGGAACCCAGAACCAGGATCAAAATCTTAGGAAGTATGAAGTTCCTCCTTAGATCCCTGGGCTCTACAACATGGGAACCAATTGGGTGGGGTTTTCATAGGTCCAGGCTTGATTGGTCCAGAAAGCAAGCAACACTTTCCCTGAAGGAAAGAGAGGCTATTTCCTCACCTCCCTTAGTCAGCCAAGAATCATTCTTTGCTCTGTTGGATGTTAGAAGATCTCTAAGCTGAGAATTAAACTCAAGATTAGGGAGTGACAGGGTGTGGCTGGTCAAACAAGTGGATCCAGTTGGGGGAGCAGGAAAGACTTCCCTGTGGCCCCAAGTCCTAAATCCTCAGGTTGTTTGCTGGCTACTATTCCTAGGAAAAAAGTCCCACCATCTCCAGGATGCCGAGAACCCAAAGAGCCACATATTCTGCTGTTTTCTGATGCTTAGAGACGAGGAAGAAGGAAAAAGGAGGAATGAAAGCAAGAAAGGATACAGACAGATAGTTTCAATCGATCACCACAGCTAGTCCATCACCACAGCCTCTCCCCAGTAGAGGAGTCATGGTCACTGTGGCAGACTGGCTTCCTGGAAACAATGCCTGTTTTTTGACTAAGGCATACTTCTTTTCCACATGCTGTGGCTGCCACAAGTCAGGCTCTAGGAAGAATGAAGTTCTTGGGGTTTTCAGGAAGGAGGCTCTGTAGCCCCTGCTTTCAGCTTTGGCCATCCCAAATCCTGCTGCACCACCAGAGGCCTAGGCAAGCTGTGTCTACTTCCACAGTGACCCTTAGCATGTGTGACTGTCCTCTGCCTGCAGCCGCACTATCCTGCCTGCCCCACCCCCCCAGGTCCATGGCAGTGAGGTGCCTTCTCCGCATGGCTGCTAACCCCTTGCTTTGTTCTGTGACAGGCTCCCCAAGACTGTGCTGCTCCTGTACCACCATCTGCTGCTGACCCTGTGTTACCTGCCAGTGTCCCTTCCCCTGACGCTGGTATCGCTAGCATGGCATCGCTTCAGGTTTGTGCCTTTCCTCTTGTGCATGCCACTGTCTTTTGTGCTTGTCCCTTCTCCTTCCCAAAGAACTCTGTCCTCTCTGGATTCTCTTCTCTCCTCAGGCAGTGAGGTCCCTAAAGCCAGGTGTTCTTCCTAGGCCTGGAGTGGGAAGCTAAGACAGGGCTTTTCCTTGAAGTTTGGGGAAATGAAATGTTGTTGGTATGAGCTTGCCTTATCCTTCCAGGATGATTTTTTTTTAATTTTTAATTTTAAAAGCAAGGTCTTGCTATGTAGCCCAGTTTGCTCTCAGCTTCACTGTGGCCTAGGCATGATCCTCCTATCTCAACCTCCTGAGTTCTACTTAACATAGGCATATGTCACCACACCCAGCTTCTTAGGAGAACTTGAACGACCATCCTGTGTTCCTTCCCAACAGAACTATGATGCTGACGATGGCCCTGATCTCATGGATGAGACCAAGTGAGTGTCCCCTCCTCAGGCAGCAGCCTCAGGGCTGAGGGAGTTAGGGCAGGCCTCCACCTGTGAACCTCCCTCCCATCAAGCCATCTGTACTCCTGACTTTTATCTCCATCTCTAGGACTTTTTCATCAACTGAGAGCCTACGGCAACTTTCTCAACAGCTCAATGGTCTTGTGTCAGAGGTACCCCAGGATTGGGGCCTGGGGAGGGCAGGGTGGGGGTGGGGGAGGAAAAGATGATAGAAACTGAACTCAGGATTCACAAGAGAGGTAGCAGAGGGTAGGACCAGCTGGTGTGCTGGGTAGCATTAGGCAGGTCTTCTCTTAGTCTTGTCCTCATGTACCCCAGACTTGGAGCACATGATTGGTGGTATCATTTTATCCTGGGACAGAAAGCAAGCCCAGGTTGAGAGCTGTGTAGGAGAACCAGGGGAAGTTAGGCAGGAAAGATTGTGCCAGTGGAGGAAAAGAAAGGCAATTGGAGGGCTCAGAGGTTGAGGTGGGCAGAGCATCTCCATATGAGCTCCGTCTCTTGTAGTCTACACCTTACGTCAACGGGGAGGGCCTCACATCTTCTACCAACATGAAGGATCTAGAGGTGAGTGGCCCTGGACCACAGCCCAGTGAGTCTGCAGACCAGTCCCCCATCTCCTCCCACATGGGGCCTGGGTGCCCCACTGCCAGCTGAGACAGTCCCCCCATCCTCCCACCCTAATGATGCTCTTTCTACCTCTCCCCTCATCCTCCTCCAACTCCTCCTCTCTGCATGCGCCTCAGAGCCGGTACCAAGAGCTAGCAGTAGCCCTGGACTCCAGCTATCTAACAAACAAACAACTCAGTAGCAAGATAGAGGAATTGGTAAGAGTCCAGTGGGGTCCCCTGAATCCATGCTGCCAATCCTGGGCTCCAGTTTCCCCTTGGGGCTCTGAAGAAAGGGACTGGGGACCACTGGTGCCAAAGGGGAACAGGGTGATGGGGGGCGTAGATCTTAGCTGGAAGGAGCCCGGAGCCCAGAGCACGCAGCATGGCTCTTCCTCTTGCTGACCCCTTACTTCCTCTTTCTCCTCTAGACACTCTGCTTGAGTCCTCATCCCACTTACTCTGCACTGTTGCCTTCAGTGGGTACACAGGCCCAGCTAGTCACCCTGGATACAGGCACCCTGTATTCTGCCCTGGCTCTGATTTTTGGGGTCATGTTACCTCCTTGGGCTTGAGTTTCCTGTGGAGGCAGAGTGAGAGGGTGTACAGGGTCCCTTTCCACTCTAAGAACGTAAGCATCAGGGAGAAGGGAATGAGAGGTGGCCATCCGTCTCATTCCTGTGTCCCTGCTGTGCCCACAGGTTGTGCTCAGTTGTTGAGTGAACACCTAAGTCCCAAGTGGGCCTGAGGCAGTTTGTTTTCTCCAAGTCCATTTCTAGACATTCATGTTACCTTCCTTTAAAGACTATCCAGATTCAGATCCTTAGTTGCCTAGCTATAAACAAAAGCTAGCTGACACTCAGATTGTCTTTTTGAGGGGAGCCTGAGAAATTTTGTCCCCATGGGATCTCAAAACTTTTTTCAAGTCCATCCCTGGCCCCTGCCTGCCCTGTCTTGGTCTGGGGAGTGGCATAAAGGAGGAGAGCCTCACTCACCTCCCTTTGACTTTCCCCACAGAAACAACAGAACCAAGACACTTTGGACCAACTGGAAAAAGTAATGTGATTTCTGTTTTTGCACATTCCGTAACTGCTGGGATTGGGGAGGACCTGGAGGAAGAGGCCTGGAAAAGTCCTGTTCTTTTACCCAGTCCTGTTGCCCAGAGGGTCCTTTCCAATCTGATCACATTGGTTGTCTCTTCTGGGCACTGGTGGCATTCTGGGGGCTTGTCCTTTGCCATTCCATCTCTGCCTCCCCCAGTGAGAGCTGCTGCTTTCCTCTTGCCCTCAGGAAAAGAAGGACTACCAGCAGAAGCTAGCCAAAGAGCAGGGAGCGCTGAGGGAACAGTTGCAGGTGAGTGGATGGCGTGGTATCCCCCAAAACCCCCAGAAAATATTCTTTCCTCTTTTAAAACTCATTTGACTTCTCCTCAAGGTTCACATCCAGACCATTGGGATCCTGGTGTCTGAGAAGTCAGAATTACAGACTGCCCTGGCCCACACGCAGCAGGCAGCTAGGCAGAAAGCAGGTGGGAATTGGGGTGCTTCTTATCCTTCAGCCTGATGCCAAGAGGGAGTCCTTGGGACTTATCTACCTCCGTCATTCCAGGAGAGTCAGAGGATCTTGCCAGCCGCCTGCAGTCTTCCCGGCAGCGTGTGGGAGAGCTGGAGCGCACTCTGTCTGCTGTCTCCACACAGCAGAAGCAGGCAGATAAGGTGAGGTCTGTTGACTCTCTGGCCACTCAGAGCCCAGGTTCCCTGATGGAGTAGTGAGTCTAAATTGCTAAATTGGAGTGTGTTATTGCATGGGAGATTGCCTTTCCTTTCCTTTCCTTTTCCTTTTTAAATTAGCATCAATTAGTTGTACAAAGGTGTTTTATTACTAACATGTCTAGATATATGTATATGTACATATATATATATATATATATATATATATATAAAATCATCTTGATCAGAGTCATAATCTCTGTCTTTCTCTTAACTCCCTTGTCCCCTTCACAAAGCAGCCTCAGAAGGCTTCACTGTACCATTTTTACACATGTACATAAATCATGTTTATCTGATAACTCCTTTTCTTGGTGCATTGATTCACTTGTAGAGCATCTGCTATTTCTGTTGTGAATAGTGCCACAATGAATATGATGTGCAGTTCCCTCTATTAATATCCTGCTGTGTATTCCTTCTAGATTGTAGAATAGTTACATTTTTAGTTTTCTGAGGATCCTCCATACAGATTTCCATGGTGGCTACACTATTTTACATTTCTTGACTTATTTGCTTTGCTGGTATTCTACAATTGAGCCACACCTCTAACTCTGCTTTTCACTGTTGAATTGGAGAATGGAGTCTTGTGGACCTTTTTGCCTAGACTAGTTTTGGACCTCAATCTTTTCAAGTTTCAGTCTTCTGACTAGGTAGCTAGGATTACAGGCATGAGCTACCACCATGTGGCTTTTAGGTTTTTTGTTTTTTTTTTTATTGGGTCCGGTCGAGGGCCTGAACTCTGGGCCTGGGCGCTGTCCCTCAGCTCTTCAGCTCAAGGCTAGCACTCTACCACTTGAGCCACAGTGCCACTTCCGGCTTTTTTTTTTCCGGCTTATGTGGTGCTGAGGAATGGAACCCAGCGCCTCATGCATGCAAGGGTGTGTGGGTGTGGGTGTGGGTGTGGGTGTGGGTGTGTTGCTGAGGAATGGAACCCAGCGCCTCATGCATGCAAGGCAAGCGCTCTACCACTGAGCCACCTTCCCAGCCCTGGCTTTTAGGTGTGTGTGTTACCACATGAACTGCCACCATGTGGCTTTTAGTTTTGTGTGTGTGTTCAGTCCTGGGGCTTGAACTCTGGGCCTGGGCACTGTCCCTGAGCTTCATTTGCTCAATGCTAGCACTCTACCACTTGAGCCACAGTGTTGCTTCTGGCTTCTTCTGTTTCTGTGGTACTAAGGAATTAAACCTAGGGCTTCATGCATGCTTGGCAAGCACTCTACCACTGGGCCCCAGTCCCAGCCCCTAGTTATGTTTCTTTTTTTAAAATTTATTTTATTTTGTTTTATTTTTTATTGTGAAAATACTGTACAGAGGGGTTACAATTACATGGACAAGATAATGAGTACATTTCTTATCAAACATTGTAGCCTCCTCCTTTGTTTTCCCTTCCCATCCTCCCCCCGCCCCCCCTCTAGTTATGTTCTTAATAATGATCATTCTGACAGAGTGCATTGGAATCTCAATGTTATTTTATATACATTTCTTTCTTCTTTTTTTTTTTGGTCGGTCATCCTTAGATCTCAGCCTCCTGAGTAGCTAGGATTACAGGCGTGAGCCACCAGTGCCTGGCACACTTCTTTTATGTTCAAGGATGACCATTTCTTCATGTACTTATTAGCTAGCCATATGTACTTCTTTCAAGAAGTGTCTGTTCAGTTCATTTGATGTTGAACTGTTTCTTGCTGATTTTGTTGCTTGGGAAAGTTGAGGGGCTAGGGGGCTTTGTATTCAGCAAGTATTGGAGGTGGACTCTGAAGGCCTGGTGCCTGCCATGCCCTTAATTAGCTGTGGCCTTGGCCAAGTGCAAAGAGAAGGAATATGTCTTTTGACCGTGAAGGTACAGAAGAGCTTAATATATTACAATATTTATCTGTGTGTGTATATATGTGTTGTACTGGGGTTTGAACTCTGGCCAGGGAGCTTTCTTTTACTTTTTTCTGCTCAAGGTTGGAGCTCTACTACGTAAGCCACAGCTCCATTTCTGACTTTGATGGTTAATTGGAGATACGAATCTCACAGACTTTTCTTCCCAGTCTGGCTTTAAACAAAGATCCTCAGATTTCAGCCTCCTGTATAGCTGAGAGTATAGGCATGTACTACCAGCTCCTGGATTAATATATTACAACAATTTGTAGAGCCAGAGGAAACATATATGGTGTATATGTATATCCATAATATATACAATATACATAATATGCATATGCATATATGTTATATATAAATATATATAAAGTATATCTGAGAGGATTCATAGAGGAGAGAAACATGGTAGCTCGAGGTCAGTTCACCTCTGAACTGTATGTGTGTGTGTGTGTGTGTGTGTGTGTGTGTGTCTGTGTGTGTGTCTGTGTCTGTGTCTATATCTGTATGAGCGCATGTGTGTGTTTGTACATTGTGACTGAGGCTTGAACTGGGCCTCAAACTCTTGCTTGCCCTTTTTATTTTCCCCCCCTCAGGGCTGGTGTTCTGCCACTTGAGCCACAAGTCCACTTTTGGCTTTTTGCTGGGTAATTGAAGATAAGAATCTCATGGATCTGGGCAGTGGCTCATACCTGTAATCCTAGCTACTCAGGAGACTGATATCTAAGGATCTCAGTTCAAATTCAGCCTTGGCAGGATAGACAGTGAGACTCTTATCTAACCAAATAACCACCAGAAGACTGGAACTGGCGCTATGATTCAAGTGGTAGATTGCTAACTTTGAGCTGAAGTGCCCAGGGACAGCACACAAATGCCAAAGCCCAGAGTTGATGCTCCAAAAAAAAAAAAAAGAATCTCATGGAGGGCTGGGAATGTGGCTTAGTACTTGCCTAGCATACTTGAAATGCTGGGTTTGTTTCCTCAGTACCACATAAACAAAAAAGTTGGATGTGGTGCTGTGGCTCAAGTGGTAGAGCTCTAGCCTTGAATACAGAGAGGCTCAGGGACAGAGCTCAGGCCTGAGTTCAAGCTCTATGACTGACATAAATTAAATAAATAAATAAATAAATAAATAAAGTCCCATGGACCTTTATGTCCAGGCTAACTTAAAACTGAGATCTTTGGATTTCAAACATGAGCCACTAGCGCCTGCCCCTCACTTCTCAACCTTCTGAGTTTTAGACTGAATACACTATCCATTCAAAAGTAAACAAAAGGGTTGGACACTGGTGGCTCACACCTGTAACCTTTGCTACTCAGCAGGTTGAGAGCTGAGGATTGCAGTTCAAAGCCAGCCCAGGCAGGAAAACTCTGAGATTCATACCTCTAATTAACTGTAGAAAGCTGAAAATAGAGCTGTTGCTCATGTAGTAGAGCACTTAGCCTTGAGGAAAAGACTCAATGACAGTTCCAGGCCCTAAGTTCAATCCCTAATACTGTCTCTCTCTCCCCACCCCCAGCAGCCCCTCCAAAAATAAGTAAAAATTTTCCTTTCCTGTTTCACCCCATCCCTAGAGAGAAAATGGACCTAGAGAATCAGACAGATCAGGATGTTCAAATCCTGGCTGTAAGTGATATTAGACTAGCACTTAGCCAAACAAATGGTGTGTGTCATCTGCCAGATGGAGGTGACAGTAACTCTGATGGTAGTTGTGAAGATGAAATGGGAGGGCTGGCATAGGGCCTGGTGGAGTTTTCATGAAAACGAATTGTAACTCTAGTAGTAACAATTGCAATAATAACTGATACTTCTCAGCCTCTAATAGCCAGCTCTAAATTCAGATCCTTTTTTTTTTTTTTAAATAAGGTCTCCCCAGTTATCCTTCTGCAGCCTGCTGAATGCTGGAAATTACAGGCCTGCCCCACCATGCCTTACATTCAGTCCTTTTCCACCCTTATTGGTTCTTTTTTTTTGGTCGGTTGTGGGGCTTGAACTCTGGGACTGGGCACTGTCCCTCAGCTCCTCAGCTCTTCAGCTCAAGGCAAGCACTCTACCACTTGAGCCATAGTGCCACTTCCAGTTTTCTGAGTGGTTTATTCGAGATAAGAGTCTCACAGACTTTCCTGATCCTCAGATCTCAGCCTCCTGAGTAGCTAGGATTACAGGCACCTGGCTCCCTTATTGGTTCTATTATTAAAAAACAAATGAGGGCTGGGAAGGTGGTTCAGTGGTAGAGTGCTTGCATGCATGAGGCCCTGGGTTTGATTCCTCAGCACACATAAGCAGAAAAAGCCGGAAGTGGTGCTGTGGCTCAAATGGTATAACACTAGCCTTGAGCTGAAGAGCTGAGAGACAGTGCCCCAACCCAGAGTTCAGCCCCACAACTGGCAAAAAAAAAAGAGACTGATAGTGGTTCATGTCTGAGGGAAGCAGACATCAAGAGGATTGAGGTTTGAGGCTAGCCTATGTAAAAATAAGCCAGGTGTGGTTGTACGTGCCTATAATCCCATCTACTTCAAGGTATAGGTAGGAGGACTTTGTAATCTAAGCCTGGGGCGGGGGTGGACAGAGGGGAATAAAAAAAACCAAAAACAGATCCTAAAGCCAAAAAAGACTGCATGGCTGGAATAGTAGGGCTCCTGCCTGGCAAGTACAAGACCCTGTGTTCAAACTTAAACACCACCAAAAAAAAAAAAAAAAAAGGGCTGGGGGTATAACTCTGTGGCAGAGTCTTTACCTAGCACATGAGTTCCTGAATTTGATCCCTGGCCCCAAACTAGAAACCAAAGCTTAGCCGGGCGCTGGTGGCTCACGCCTGTAATCCTAGCTACTCAAGAGGCTGAGATCTGAGGATCTCAGTTCAAAGCCAGCCCGGGCAGGAGAGACCGTGAGACTCCTATCTCTAATAAACCACCAGAAAACTGGAAGTGGCGCTGTAGCTCAAGCGGTAGAGCGCTCGCCTTGAGGTGAAGAGCTGAGGGACAGTGCCCAGGCCCAGAGTTCAAGCCCCACGACCGACAAAAAAAAAAAAAGAAACCAAAGCTCAAAGGTTGGGCATTGTGGTATGCTTGAGCCCAGGGAATGAAGAACAGCTTGGGTAATATAGTGAAGCACCCCCTCTCTGACCCAGCCAAATAAAATTAAACGACCAAACAATACACACTAAAGTACAATTGAGACCTTAGGCTTAGAAATGCCTTGAAAAATTTCAGGTGTGATTGAGGGTGAGGAAGTGTCACTGTGGAAGTTACTGGGCTATTGTTCTGCTGGAGCCTGACTTACTTTCTGTATTTGCAGTACAATAAGGAGCTAACCAAAGAGCGAGATGCCCTGAAACTGGAGCTGTATAAAAACAAGTAGGAAGGGGAAAGGAGGATGGGTGCTCTGTGGGGGCCTTAGTGGGGCTAATAGTGGGAGGTCGGGATCCAAGTTTGTACATGTATAGAGCTGAGCTTGAGTTCTAGCAGTACCCCTGACTCCTGGGATGGCATCAGACAACTCATGACATCTCTATGGCTTATTGTTTGTGAATCTATTCTTCATGACCCTTTTGATATGCCATACAGTTCTGAGGTTGTATAGGGTAGGGTGGGTCGCAAAGCATTTCCTTTAGTTCTTGGTTCATTCCTTTGCACTGACTCTGGCCACAGTAAAAATAATGAAGATCTGACGGAGCTGAACTCAGAACTGGAAGAGAGGCTTCAAGTCCTACTGACAGAGAAAGAAGCCATGCAGTTGGGAATGGAGGAGCTGCAGAAGAAGTTGGAAATGTCTGAGGTCCTCCTGCTGCAAGTGAGATGCTGCAGTCAGGCAGGGAGTGTCACCCTAGGGTGTCAGCACAAGTCTCTGGGTTTGGGAGGGTGGGGCAGTGGGGGACTTCCAGCCAAGAGCTGGAAAATTTGGATCCTTGTTTTTGTCCTGCCATAGGATTCTCCACAAATGGTTAAAAGACCCACCATTTGGGGCCCTGCCCTTAACCTATGGAATCAGAATCTTGGCAGTAGGGCTTTTACATCTTAAGGGTCCTGGTTAAAAACCACCATTTTATAGGTTTCATTTACATGGCCAGTGAGGAGTCTGTTCCCTTTTTGGCACTTTAGTACATGGCAGTGACCTTGAGTTGTCATTGATCCTAGCTCACACCCTACCTTAGGGCTTTGTACTGAACAGCCTGGCTCCCTGATCTCAACTTCTCCTTTTCCTCACAGTTTTCTAGTCAGTCGGAGTCCCCCGACAGTAACCAGCAGTTACAGCAGGCCATGGAGGAGCGGGCGCAGCTGGAGAGAAAAGTGGAGCAGGTAAGGCTTGGCAGGGAGAGGAGTGTGGAAGGAGGATGGCCCAGGGAGCCAGGAGCAGGCAAGGACCAAGACAGCCGTTCTTGATGTGACTGCACCTCCTGCAGCTGACAGAGTTGCTGAAACAGCTGCAAGTGGAGAGAGACCAGTATGCAGAGAATCTGAAAGAAGAGAGTGCTGTGTGGAAGCAAAAGATCCAGCAAGTGTTGGAGCAGGTGAGGCCCTGCCCTTGGGAACTCACACACACGCTCTTTCTGGGCATCAGGACCGTGGGTGGGCTATCTCTTGTTGTAGAATGAGCTGGAGAGGTGCTGTGTGTTGATTTTTGTGGAGGTGGGGTCTGGGATGGAGATGGTTCCTGGGACCCTCCAGCCTCTCCCTCCATGGCTCTTCCTCATGTTCCTTGGGCAGATGCGCATGTTGAAAGAGGAGAAAGAGCGCAGTGCAAATCAAGTACTGGAGCTGGAGACCAACTTGGCAGAACTGAAAAGCCAGCTGGGTAAGCGGGGGCTTAAAATACCCCAGTGTGCATGGATGCATGGATGTAGGAGCATCATGGAAGATACATAGGATTTGCACTGGGAAGCAGAAAATCTTTTTGAGCTTCAGTGTCCCCATGTGTAAAGAGATGGCATGCCTCCTGTCATCTGCCACAGTTGACTTGAGTTGGAAGTAGCCTGAAAGATTGACCACCTATGGGCATGAAGAATCGGGGGCTCTAAGGGCTGAGAAGAGGCCCCTGAGACACAGAGGCCCCTGAGACACAGAGGCCCAGGCCCTTATTGTTTGCTCCTTTTCCCAGCGGAGTCATCATTGCCACCAGCCCCAGTGGGGCCATCGGAAGCAGAGCAGCAGCTGCAGGCAGAGGCCCAGCAGCTGCAGAAGGAGCTGGAGAACCTGGCAGGACAACTACATGCACAGGTGCAGGACAATGAGAACCTGAGCCGCCTGAACCAGGAGCAGGAGGAGCGGCTACTGGCTCTGGAGCGGGAGGCTGAGGTCTGGAACGAGCAGGCAGAGGATCGCAAGCAGATCCTAGAAACCATGGAGAGCAACCGCACCACCATCAGCCGCGCACTCCTGCAGAACCGGGAGCTCAAGGAGCAGCTGGCCGAGCTGCAGGATGGTTTTGTCAGGCTGGTGCGTGGCCTGCTGGCCCTCCTTGCAGGGCAACCCCATAAAATAGGATGCTATAAGTCTGGGTTCTGGTGGCCCACACCTGTAATCCTAGCTACTCAGGAGGTTGAGGTCTTAGAGCTGCTGGGATCATGGTTCAAGGCCAGCCTTGGACAGAAAAGTCTGCAAGATTCCATCTGTAAAATAATGAGCAAAAAAACGTGGGCTGAAGGCATGGCTCAAGTGGTAGAGTATCAGCCAAGTGAGCAAGCTGAGCAAGCACAAAGGGTCTTGAGTTCAACAAGCCTTGGTACTGGTCGGAAAAAAAAAGATAGGGTGCTGTAGATCTCATGTGAAATGGTGGCTTCATGAAGATGCCTCATAAGCTGCAGACCTGCTGTAGTGTCCAGAGGAGGAGTGGAGATAATCCTCCAGCCTTCCTTGCTCTGAGAGGGTGGAGACTCAGGTCTGGGGGCTCCGGCCACACTGGGTGCACTGATGGCTGCTGTCTGTCTCCAGAGCAATGAGAACATGGAACTCACCAGTGCACTGCAGTCGGAGCAGCATGTCAAGAAGGAGCTGGCCAAGAAGCTGGGCCAGCTGCAGGAGAAGCTGGGAGAGCTGAAGGAGACGGTAACTCTTGTCCTGTGAGATGTAGCTAAGAGGCAGGGGCCAGACCCTGGGGAGCAGAGGTGTTGGAGCCAGCACAGGTCAGCTGCAGCTGGGGGACCCCAGTATCCTGCAGAGCAGTCCTGTGATTTTCTTGTTCTCTCACTATTAGAAGTGGGTCACTCAGGGTCCCTTTCACGTCTGGACATTATTCCTACAGCTTCCTTATTGTAGGCTGAGACAGGTTATGATATAAGGTTCCTCAGATTCAGGCTGGATTCTACTCTCGGCTCAGTGGCTATACCATTAAGCCTGATTCCTAAAATTCAAGAGGAAATTAGCTGTGGGGCACCGGTGGTTTACACCCATAATTCTAGCTACTCCAAAGATGGAGACCTGTAGGAGCAAGGTTCAAAGCCAGCCCAGGCAGAAAAGTACCATCTCCATTTAACAACAAAATGCCAGACGTACAGGCATAGTTCAAATGGTAGAGCCATAAGCCTTGAGCAAGCAAACTGAATGAGAGTGTGAAGCTGAGTTCGAGTGCCAGTACTCACACCAAAAGAGAGAGAGAACTATCAGATGCCTCATATTCCTTATAGAGTTGAGGATTAAATGAGATGATGCATGTAAGGAATTGGGCTTGATCAATAAGCAATGTGTGAGTTGGTCCCTCTGCTAAGTGGTAAGAAAGGTTCTGAGGTCTGAGTCTGGTACAAGAGGCAGGGCTTCTGTCCCCACACCTCCCATTGATGGGCTCAGAATCTGGAGGGCAGGCCACTACCTGCCCTCATCCCTAAGGTCGTCCCGCAGGTGGAGCTGAAGAGCCAAGAGGCCCAGGGTCTACAGGAACAGCGAGACCAGTGCCTGTCCCACCTGCAGCAGTACGCAGCAGCCTATCAACAGCACATGGTGGCCTATCAGCAGCTGGCCTCAGAGAAGGAAGCCTTGCATCAGCAGTTTTTGGTGCAGACCCAGCTCCTGGACCAGCTGCAGCATGAGGAGGTGCAGGGCAAGGTGGTGACGGACATGGTCCGCAAGGAGTTGCAGGAAACCCAGGTGAGGCAGATGGTGTAGCCAGCCCCGAGCGGGAGGACCTGGCCACCTCCTCCTCTCCTCACTCTTTTTCTTGGCTCCTTAGAAGCGCCTGGAAACCACCAGCCAGCAGAACCAGCAGCTGCAGGCCCAGCTGGGCCTCCTGGCTGTCCCTGCAGAAGGTGAGTGAGAAGAGAGCCTCGCAGGGACTCTGGCAGACGCTTTGAGAATAACTAGTCATTCTCCGGGTAGGAATTGGCCCAAGGGTACACAGTGAAGCAGGGGCAGAGGTGGGTTCTGAGCCTCTGCTTCCCTTGTGAAGTTGTCTACGGACACACCACCTACTACCTTTCCCCAGTAGATGAAGCAGACAAAGAGGAAAGGGAGGAGGATGCTCAGCCCCGTTTGACCATCCCAGAGGATCTAGACAGCCGAGAAGCCATGGTAAGCCAGACTGTGCCCGGCCCCTTCTTCCTGCCTCCTTCTGTGGTCCCTCTGGACGCCTCTGCATCTTGATTTCCCTTGAAACTGAATGATTTCTCTTGCCCTTCACACCTTTCCTGGGAGCCAGTGTTCAGACATGGTTGTACTTGGGAACAAGAAGTGCACCTGCTGAGTCCTCCGCCTCCCTACCCTTTTGTCCCAAGACAAATGTGTCCCCTGACATCCTGCCCCCTTGCCTGCAGGTAGCATTTTGCAATGAGGCTCTCGCCAGCGCTGAGGAGGAGAAGGCACAGCTGCGCAGGCAGCTGAGAGAGCAGAAGGAGCACTGCCAGCGCTTGGCTCAGCTGGCAGCCCCGTCACAGAGTGAGGCCAAGCAGGATGCCATGGGCCTTGGGAGTGGAGGAGACTCTGTGTCCGGGGAGAGCCAGCAGGCCATACAGATGTCCATGGAGAAACTGCAGGTTGGTCTTTTCCCAATGGGGCAAGAAGAGTAGGGCTGGGACTGAGACCTAACCCCACAATTGTGGCTCTAGAGCCGCTTCCTAGAGGTCATGCAGGAGAAGATGGAGCTCAAAGAGCGTGTTGAGGAACTGGAACATCGCTGCATCCAGCTGTCTGGAGAGACGGACACCATTGGTGCGCTGGGGCCCAAGGCAGTAGGGCTGCATGGAGGGGGTGAGCTGGGGCGTGCCAGCATCTGAGCCTGTCTTCCTGCCCACCCTCCCCACAGGAGAGTACATTGCCCTCTATCAAAACCAAAGGGCCTTTCTGAAGGAGCGACACCGAGAGAAGGAGGAGTATATCAGCCGGCTGGCACAGGACAAGGAAGACATGAAGGTAGGCCCCCTGATGTCTCTGTGGGCTGGGGCCAGACGGGGTGTGGTTGCTGAGCATCTTTCCCTCCAGGTGAAGCTACTAGAGCTACAGGAGTTGGTGTTGCGGCTTGTGGGCGAGCGCAACCAGTGGCAGGGCAGGTTCCTGGCAGCCTCCCAGAGCCCTGCTGCTGAGCCCACCCCAGACCCCTCAAGCTCTCAGGAACTTGAAGCTGCCTACGAGCAAGGTGGTGAGTCAGAGCCCTGGGCACGGCTAGTGGGATTAGGGGAGGCCGGCCAGCACAGCAATCAGCTCTGCTTCTCTCTGTCCCCCAAGACCTTCGGGAAGTGAGCCTCTCTGATCATGTGGATCCTGTGCCAGGAGAGGCTGCGGTGGCTTCGCCCCCTGAGAACCCGACTGAGCAACAGATCTTGCAGCTGCTGCGTGAGATCCAGAACCCCCAGGAGTACGCAGGCTTGGGCAGCAACCCCTGCATCCCCTTCTTCTACCGGGCTGATGAGAATGATGAGGTGAAGATCATGGTTATCTAAAAGACTGATAGCCAAAGTCTGGAGAATAGGGGCCAGGGTTCAGCCCCACTCCAGACCCTGCCTCCTGCCCTTACCATTCCTTCCCAGTCACCCTTTTATCCTTAGAGTTGGAAGATCAGACCCCCTATATTAACAGGGGGACATGAACAGGTGCAGACCCTTTGCCATCTTGGCAGGGGCTGGGTCTTAATCTCTGGACTCTGGCTCCAGAGTTTCATAGTTACTGAGCAGACTGCCTCTCTGGAGGGGCAGGGTCTCCATTCTTCCCTGCAGAGGCACTAGGCCAGGATAGCATTTCCATGGCCCTCCGGACAGATGAGGCTCACTGTGGGGAGGTGAGGACAGGCTGGCAGGGGCCATCCTGTATTCAGCAGGGTCCTGTGGCTTTGTGTGTGTGGTGGTGCTGGGATGAAACTCAGGGCCGGGCGCTTCCCAAATCAGCTCCCATCTTCATGGCACTTTGGGGCAGGATTAGCTGAGCAGCAGCATCACAGGTCCCCAGGCAGGTGGAGTCAACTGTAGGCCATGTGAGGGCTGAGTCAGCACAGGCGGTCCACTTGGGGCTCCCTTTTACGTGCACTTTGGGGCAAGGCAACTGGGCAGCGTTCTCTCAAGCCTTAGGGCACTCCGAGGGTTGATGGAGGCCGGGCAGAGGCTGCTGGGAGGTGGGCTCCCCCTCCCCTAGTGTACATACTGTACCTGTGTAACATTTTGTATATTCTGGGGTAGGGATGCCCCCTGTATCATAGTGGAGGTTGGGGTTGGCAAGTGGTGGGAAAAAAAAATCTAATAATTATTTGGGCTGGGAAACTTATTTATTGGTAGCATAGGACAGAGGAAGGAGGCGGGGATGGGGTTGTGGCACCCTGGTGATGCGGCTCCTGTTTTGCTTTTTATTTCGGAATAAATGAATTTAGCCATACTGCTTGGCCTCTCGCAGTCCTGTTTGTCACTGGCTGCTTAGCACTGAGCGGGGAGTGGGTTCTGCCAGCAGAGGGCAGGCTTTGACCTGTGTGGAGCTGGAGTCTGCAGTGTCCAGCATCTGCCAGACCTGTTTCCTGTATGCTGCCGGGTGAAGCCTGGAGATTGCAACAAGATGCCAAAGGGTCAAGGGTGGGCCTGCCCTAATGGACGGTAGACTCAGGCCAGGTCTGTGGGTGCTGACTTCCAGTCATCTCATTCCCGGCCCTCCTGGCTGGTCCATACATGGGGCCTGTTCCTCCTATAGTTCCCTCTAGAGTCCAAGCTTCTGCTTCACAGCCTCCTCCAGATGAGTTCACGGCTCTGCTCATGGGGTGTGGTTATGAGGACACAAACTCCAAGGGGTTTTTCAAATAGCTTCCAGCCTTTTACAGCATCCCATGATGGCCCTTCCTCATCCTGTACCCTGGTGCTTATATTTTCCCCTTTCCCCAGATCTCCACAAAGAATGCAGCACAGGACACAGGATTTCCCATCATCCAGAAATGGGTTTTATTCTCAGCCAAGAGACGTCAAGACTGGTGGTGGTTAGAGAAGCCCACAGCTGCCAGCGTAGCACCTCCGTGCTGGGGGCTGGGGGGCAGGGGGCTGGCTGTCCACAGGCCGAGCAGGACAGGAAGGCTCACTGGAGTGGCACACTGGAGGGGGGTGTCAGGGTGACAATGTTCCCTTGTAGTTGGGCCACAGGACTCCACAAGGACAGCATGGTGGTTGATTCCCAACACTAGAGGCGAGGCTGTGGCAGCCATATATATGTATATATATATATGTATATATATATATGAGTATTTATAGATATTTATAGAACAGGGCAGGAGCAATACCACAGAGGGGCACAAGTTTTCACCAACGTCACGCCTGGATGTTTCAGCTCACCACTACAAGAGACTAAGTCACAGATGGAGGGGGACGCTTTGGGACCGGGGAGCCACTGTCAAGTCACAGAACAGCCATCCAGGCAGGCTTAGGAAGGGAGGTGTCCGTGGAGTAGGAGGGATCTGGTTAGAGGTCGAAGGGGGGCCTGGGGCTCTCAGGACGGGATGGACTTGCCTGACCCGATCGGCTGGCAGTTGGAGAGAAAGCCAAGAGAGAAAATGGGAGAGAGAAAAGGAAGGAGAGCTGGTAAGGCAAGAGCGGCCACCCCCTGACACGGGAGGGGATGGAGCAGGTGGGATGTGGGCAACATTTCTGGAAAAGAGACAGACAAGATGGGAAAAGGGAGGAAGATAGATGGGAGGAGCTGATTGGGCTGTAGCTCCCAGGTAGTCCAGTTGGAGGCTACCTCCCCACCACACACACAGCCTCACACAGCACCCAGACTACACCCACAGTTCACACACACGCCCATCTCCCTGGGCTGTCCTCTTCTCTGATCACCCTGAATTCCATGCCACTGGCCCAGGGCTACCCCTAGCCTTGGGGAGGCCCGTGCAACAGCCTCCAGGCTGGAGGAAGAAGACTGCTTGAACCAGGAGGGCAAAACTAAAAGGAATGGCTGGAGGGCGCGCTGGAGGCCCCTCGGGTGGTCAGAAAGCCCAGGAGTCCTCTGAGGGGATCCTGGGGGAGAATGGGAGGCAGGCAGCTGATGCCAGTGGCCACAGACTTATAAGTCTAAGAGGGGAGCCTCAGCTGGTCGGGGGACTGCAGGTCGCGTAGGTGAGGCTGGGCCCTTCCTGCTGGGGAAAAGCAGAAGAGCATGAGTCAGTGGCAGGCAGGGTCGCCAACTGGGAGGAACTCAGAGAATCTGGCTTGCCCAGGTCAACAGACATGGTACTGCCCTTGGCTGAATTTTCAGATCACCTTTGGCTAAGGTGCAGGAGCCTGCAGGCTGAAGACAGGACTTCCAGTCGCAAGTGTGCCAGTACCAAAGAGGAACGGAAGGGGGCAATGTGTCCCTGCCTGGCCTGTGACATGAGTCCTGCGCTGACAAGTGTCTCTCAGAAACCATCCAACAACCAGAGCCTCCACTCAGTCTGTGTCCCACCTCCACCCTTTCCCTGTGGCTCAGCAGCATGGCACACCCAGGATGGCGTTCAATAGCTTCTAGCTACCTCAGAGCCCAGACACACACAGCCCTTCCAAGCTCCCAGCCCCTACACGGCGAACCATGAGCCCTCTGGCCTCTCTGACAGTTCCAGGGAGCACCAACATCTGTCATGAGTGGAGAGCCCATCCCAGGGACCCTCAGCTCAGCCATGGAGGCCCTGGGCAGTGGCGCTGAGTCCCGAGGCTCACTGGGAAGGAGGGTAAGAGAGTCAGCTGGCAGAGGACAGAAAGAAAAGAGGGAGTCTGGAGCTGCAGAAAGGAGAGGGTGGAGCCTGGCTCTGAGGTCCCAGGTGCACCCCCCTGGTGTGGAGCTGGTGCAGCTAGGGGGCGCAGACACACCATTCATGCAGCAGGCTGAGAGCATGTACCTACCGTGGCTGACGCTCCTCAGGGGTCACTGATAGTGATTCTGAAAGACAGCACGAAATCAACAGGGCAGTTCACACGCACGGGTGGGGCAGGCCTGGGGCGGGGCAGAGATCACACACACGCACACGCCCGGGCGTGCACACACCCATGCTGTGAGGCCCCACGGCCTGCATGCACACGCTAACACACATGCCCACAAACACACGCGTACACTTCCCTCCCCCACCGCCCAGTGCCCAGCACCCTCGCTGGCGGGCACGTGCAGCACGGATCTGGGGCATGCAGCCACTCGGCACACTGAAGCACACGCCTGGGCTGTCACAACACAGAAGCTCGCCCCACACAGAAGGCATTTGCACCAGCTCCCTGCACACTCGTACCTCCAGTGCTTAGAGGGCCACCACACTGCTTTATAGGGACAGACCTTGCTTTCTAGGATCCAGCTGTCATTTTTCTGCCCAAGAGCCACCATGGCTCTCTACTTCCTATACACTGAGTCTCAATTTTTTTTCCCCTGTGGACTTTGATGGCTGTCTTCAGAGAAGCCTGCCCCATGTTATCCACATGCCTCTTCCTCCTTCTGTCTGTACTCTGCTTGATTAGGGGCTCATCTTATCACACCCCACACTAAGCTTTTGCCCACACTGGTGCTCCCTACACAAATGCCCTTATTCCTCACCACCTGAACCTTATGCCCACATCCCACTGAAAGCAGGCTGCCTTGAAGAAGCTCTCCAGACTGTCTCTTCCCCAAGGAAGACCATGCCTTGCCAAATGTTTTCAGTTCATTAAAAAGACTGCAGTTAGAACAGACACCCAATCTTCCAGTTCCTGTGTTACAACTCTGCATGGACGTGGGCATGTCAAATACCAGTAATACTCTGAAATCACACTGGCAGTTTGCAAAGTATTCCTCTAACAACATTTGCTATGAATGTAGCATCCCTACCACCAGTGGATCCCCATGTCACCCTGGGATAAAGGCAGAAAGTTGTCATTTGGCACAAGAAACTGAGGCCCTGAGTGGGCAATGACTTGCCTAAAGGGCCAGGGTGAACCAGCATCTCTGGACTCCAAGTCCAGGACTCTTTCCTAATATGTGCTTTCTGCCTCTAGAGGTCCCCAGCCCAGCCCTCCAGCCATCTGGGAACACAGAGATGTTATTGGTCTGATGGTGTGTTCTTCCTTAGACAACCTGGCCAGTGAAAACAGGCAAACTCAGTCAGTTACAGGAGTGAACTTCCTTGAAAGTGAGTCATGGCTCTCAAAGCAAAGCCTTCCTGATGGAATGAAGGATCATTTTCCCTGGAAAGCTCTGGGAATGGGGCAGCCTCATATACTCCTGTCCTCGTACCCACTCTCACCATGTTGGTCCAAGCCACCCGATTGCCCCTTGGCACCCAGATTCCTTTCTTGTTGCTTCCTGTCCTGCCCATGCCTAGGTACCACTCACAGTCACACAGGTGTGCACGCCCACATGCACATCACACACCTTGCTAGCCACACAGTCAGCCTGGCCTCTGTTCCTGTGGGTCAGAGGCTGGACACGACTCTGGGACAGCTCAAAAGATTTCGGAGCTGGGGAAGTGAGGGCATCAGGAGGCCCCAAATGGAACTGAAGGAAACCTCTACGATCTAGAGAGGCTCTGGGTTCATTCCCCTAGCCTTGAGGTAGGCTCTTACCAGGGGCTGGGAGGGGAAATGAGAATGGAATGGAGGATGGAGAGCGAGAAGGAACAGAGGAATGCAATGCGTAGAAGGCCAGGGGTGAAAATGAAAAAAGAGGGAAGCGCCATGCAAGTGCTGGAAAAAAGAGGGCAGGTGGGGTGAGCCCCACAGCCCCCTCCCCAGAAACGACCACCTCTGGGACTCAGCGCTCCCGGGGGGCAGGCTCTGCCAGCCCTCGGCCGCACATCCCGTGGTTCCTGCAACCCACGGTGTGAGTGCCTAGGAGGGAGCGGGCGGGCTCTGCAGCCAGGGCCCAGGCTCTAGAATCAGACTCCACTTCCCTCTTGGGCCACGCCCTTCCCTGCGGCCTCTCGCGCCGCTTCCAGCCCCTACTCACCTGGGGACCCCGGGCGGGGCGCGGTTGGGGCGCGAGGGCACCTGGGGAGGAGGACCGAAGGGATCAGGGGAAGCCCCCGGCCTGGAGGGCACGGGGGGCGCCCCCCCCAGGGCGGATCCAGCAGGCGGAGGCCCAGGAGCAGGGCCCCGCGACCCGGGCCGGGCTGGGGGCACGGCGGGGGCTCGGCGCTGCGGCGTGGGGCTGGACGTGGGCGACCTGCTGGCGACAAGAAGCCGAGAACCAGAGGCCGAGATGAGTGGCCCCGCGCCAGGCAGAGGCCCCGCCCCCAGCCCAATGCAGGCTCCGCCCATGCACGCAAGCTCCGCCACACAGCACTCTAGGTCGTCGCTGGAGCCTAGGCCCCGCCCACATCGGCGCCAAGGCTCCACCTCCACTCGGCCCCGCAGCCAGCGCTCCACGGCAAGCCCCGCCCCGCATCAAGCCCCACCCAGTTCTAAGCT